TAAAAAAAAAAAAAACATTTTCAACTCCAAATTGACATTGTAAACTCTCCTTTGAGGTCAAATACTTTAGCTCAGATGACTATTTCATAAATATTTATGTTTAGAGTTATCAAAATCAACAACATTTTTAAATGGATGTCGACGGTTGTGGGAGCCTGCGGCCTGCTGTTTAGCCTCTATATGCTTTGTGGTAATAAGCAAATCACCACGACAAATGTTGCACCAACTGCCGATACCAAATCTATCGATAAACATTAATGGAATTACTAAATTAAGTATCAGCAAAAAATGAGTAATAGTAGAAAAACGCTTTATTTAAGGAATTAGTGAATGTGTTGTAGTAATGTAGCTGCAGTAAATACTTTAGCACATACATATGTACATACTTATGTATGTACAATTCTTTTAGCAGCAATAAATTTAAATTAGTGATGTCCTCTAGACGTATGTGCATGAACAGCTGTTTGATTTCTCATGGAAATGCCATAGTAATTACCAGCTAGGTGTTACAACGCTAATTTACTGTACTTATTGTATCGTTAATTGGACCAGATTTAAGAATGAAATGGAGCTTATTATTGTCTATATGTATTACTTTGGATTTATTCCAATGCCAACCTTCAAAGAACTTTCAATCAATCATTGTTAAAATAGAATACATAAATGCAAGTTAACTGGTTTAACTCAAGTACATGGAATTATTTACGTGACCATTATTGTACTTGGCCAATGGATAATTTGTTGGAATTTTTATGTACTTTTTGCAACTGTCAGCGAGAACTATAATTGTCAAATTATTAAGCGGCGATGTAATGGGCCATCATGTATTTACCTTCCAGGAATAAATTCCAACAAATCATTTGCTAATGATATAATTAAGCTCAGATTTGAGTACTTTGAAGCAGGCAATTACAGTAGACTTCTAATAAAAGTGACGAAAGACTTTGCAAAATTTTGCAACTAACATTGATAGTTAGATACCTTCCTCCCTTAAAGTCCCTCAAATATTTTCAGATTTTATTTACCCACTCTCTTATAGATTTTTCCAACAAAAACTTAATTGTTAAAGAGAAAACAAACCCTTAAATTTTTTTTTTCATACATACATATAAAATATTGAATTTTATTTAGTCCTATAAAACTACATGTACATATGTATTAACTTATAATTAAATACAAGGCTCATAAACAAAATACAATGAAAATAACTTTAATCATGATAATTACAGCAATAACACATTGATAGACTTATCTAATTACAGAATTAAGTTAAAAATTTCGGCAGCGATGATACAAATGTACTTTTCTTTTTAATTCTTTGCCAAAATTTTGTTTCCACACAATATTAAAAATAAATTAAATATGATTTTGTAGCTACAATATTTACAACAACTTTTTCTAAACAACAGAAAAAGTCTAAAATATTTTCATACACACTGTACACAAGGGATTAGAACTGTGAGCACTTCGGAAATTGTAGAGCAGGAGGATGTATATTTGAGAGTGGCGAAATTGAAGCAAACATGTATTTAGCCAATAGATATCACCAAATATTACATACATAAATATTTATGTATTCCATTTTGTGCTTTATCAGTTGATCTTTTTGACTCTTTGATTAGCCGTGGGTATGCTATGATGTATAACTTCGGGACGAGAGAGCAAGCGTTTTAGCAGGTAATAGATTAGATAGATGGCGCCCGCATAAAGTGCGACTACATCGACAAGATAGTATTGGATCCAACTGAAAAGATGAAAGTTATATTAATCGTATTTTCTAGAGAATTTTTGTGAAATGAGTTTGCTGAGTCCAAGAACACTTAATATGTATATGGGTGAAGCAGACAGCAATTATTTTGGATGTGTTAATGTTTTTTGTTTTTAGTTTTCTTTCAGACGTTTGGTACTATAGCAAACCTGTTATGGAGCGATACTAAGTTGAACAATGCGTAAAAGTGATCCAATGCAATCGATGAACATAACCGGTCATCTGAGTCAACAACTCGTTTGGTGCACAAATTCGAGGAACCTGGGTAGGTTCGGTAGAAGATTCTGCTGCTGGGAACAAAGTGTGGGCCAGCACGCGATAATCTCAATTCGTCGTCGTGCACAGCACCGTTTAGGGGATTTTAACAAAATGACGTATGTTTTCAAGCCCAGAGACAATGTCGATTATTCAAAAACAAAATCCTCACGAGCGATGATGCACATTTTCCGCATTTGCGGTACTGAAAATCCCCATGTTATTCAAGATAAAACTATGCACTCACAACGAGTCTTTGTTTGGTGGTGTGATTTTTGGGCTGTCAAAGTCAATGGCGCAGTTACGGTGCTAAGTAAATGTTTTCGTGACATTATAACAAACTTTTTATGGCCTGAATTACATGACATGGACTTGGACAATGAATGGTTTCAAAAAGACGGCGCCACTTGCCACACAGCGCATGAAGCAATGGCACTAATGCGCACGAAGTTCCCAAGACTCCTTATCTCATGAAATAACGAGGACAAATTGCGGCCGAGATTTGACAACATTAGACTTCATTCTCTAGGGCCACGTGAAAAGTATGGTCTATGCCAATAAGCCCGAGACGATTCCAGAGCTGAAGAACGAAATCATATGCGATATAAATTATATACGGCCCGAGATATGCCAACAAAGTCATTACAAATTTTGATATGCGCATCCTGTATTGCCTGGAGCTCACGCACCTCCTTTCGACCGATAGGAGAGAAATACAGCAATTATGTGGCTCTTAAGGCACTAGAGTGTCTAGTAGGCCGTTGCTTTACAGATCCAGCTGCTAAAACCTGGCGGCTTAAAGCTCTTAGAGCAGAACTACCAAAGGATTTTCAGGCGTTCACAGGTTTTCAGTACTTTATTCAGCTATACGTTTTATGTTGCGGCGCGAGCGCTCCTCTTTCTGCCGCCTTTATGTAGCCTTCAGACAAGAATACTGAATCACAACATAAGGCAACTAATAGGGTTTTTCAGTATGGCTACAGTACCGAAAAATAAAATAGATCGTTTGTTGTTGCTGTAGCTGTGTATTATAAAGTTCTGCCCGGTTCAGGTAGACATTCGATTATTGTCGTCAAACCCAACTAACGGTAATCCCCGGAAATATGCTGTTTTCACGTGGTCGCCCATGCGAAGGGTTAGTTGGAGTCTTGGGGAGTACCACCACAGCTCAATTATATTTTGGTAAGTCGGGGCTAATCTATATAAGTAGTAGTTTATTTTACTATAGCGGTAGCGGTTGGACGATGTATGTTTTTTATTGCCTCCAGTTGTCGCGCGATCAGAGCCTGGATCTCGTTCATGGGTTCGTAAAGACGCCTTCTAAGGAGCCTGGGAGGTGTTTCTCCTTCCAGAAAGTGTCTAATAGGTTGTTTTTTTTTATTCTAGATGGTTCATTGCATCCACTCTATCACTATCGACCACTTAGTTAATTCTCCGCATACCGTTTTAGCCCTCCTGTGGCAGAGAATACCTCAATGTCCTCTGCTTGCTTGAAGGGCCAAACGGTCTCGAAGGCTTTCGAAAAATCGAACGCCAATAGGATAGTTATCTCTTCTTGGCTTATAGATTTAAGGGTTTGGTGGTGGTGGACATTTCACGGAAGCCGCGTTGATCCATAGCGGTTAGGTTGCACGTAAAGTGCGAGAGTAATTAGGCCTCAATCGTATTCATTACTGTGGAAAGAGGAGTTATCAGGCAATACGATTTTTTTTTGCAGATTTCATTAGTTGAACGATGACAATTCGCGGACCTAAGTGAGGTCAACAACTGCCGAGCTTAATAACTTTTTACTTTGCATGGCTCATAACTAGATAGAATCTAGTTAGGCGACTATTATGTCCTAAATGCTTGGTTTGGGTGCTAAATCTTTTAAGGATCTATTAATAATAATCGTACTTACCTCAGATTTCTGGCTGGCGATTGCAGATGGTAGGCTCCTTTGTGACGCAACACATATTCGGTCCAATATATGGACGTCTCCAGAGGAGTAGTACGCTGATCTGTCAGCAACTTTTGTCGGAATCTAAAAGGATTTTCAGTGAGAAAAATTAGACAAAAAATTTTGAATCTTCGCATACACTGAGAAAAAAGGCAGCTAAATATATTTCTCTTAACACAGGATTTTAACAATAACCAGATCAAGTGTTGAGAGAATTTTATTTAGTTGATGTAACTAAACTCTTCCCTCAGTGTATAACCTACCTCGCCGCCTTTCTGTACTGTGGATCATGTATGACCTTCATAATCGCCTTGTACAGCTGACTGGCTGTCAATGTCTCCAACTGCAACTTAATTGCGTAACCGTCGACCTCCGCTTTGGCCGAGTTAACATCATGATCACAAAAAACTGGCATCGTCACGACAGGTACGCCGTGGTACACCGTCTCGAACATGCTTAGCAAACCGCCATGTGTAACGAAGGCGCGCAGCTTGTGATGACCCAAAATGTCCTGCTGTGGCAACCAGCGACTTAGACGCACATTTGGCGTCAAATTAAGCATTTCCGCGGCATCGCCTTCGTACTTCCAAAGCACATGATATGGCAGGCGGGCAAATGTTTTCACCAATAAGCGACGTAGTGACGCGGGCATGTTGGCAGCCTTCACTGAGGAGCCCATGGACACGTAAATGAAACCAGATTCACCAGCCGATGCGATGAATTCTTCAAGATCTTTCGGCAGTGGTTTGGCTGGCTTACAATGTATGCAAGCGATCTCGGCGACATTTGGATTGAGCGCGCGTGGATATGAGACAACAGCGTGGCCATTTTGTAATATGAAACTGACGTTTTTCGAAATGTCATATGGATGCGGTATGTGGGTGCCAATGTGCACGCGCAACACACGATACACCATCGCCATAACAAACTGTGGAGAAGAAAAGTGAATTTACATAGATATTGCACGGATCAATATTAAGCCTTATTATGAGTTTCATTTTCCCCGAACCGGTTCACTTTTAACTTTTGGTTTCCATGTATTTACTATGGGCGGATGACAAATTTTTGGATGAATTTTTTTTTTCGGGTGAAACTCAGGATAAGGCAGATTATCTTCATTACCCTATGCATAATATCCTGAAACACTTGTATGCCTGTGTTCGCAGCGCGTTGTATGAGATTCATTGTATCTGTGAAGCTTGTGTAGAAATTCGGCGTTATCGCATACGAAGCAGGACTGCCAGACTTCGCTAGACTGCCGGTGTAGAAGCCCACCGTATTCATGTACATAAATGGTATCTTGTAGTGATAGACTATGCCGAGCGCGCATTCGGGAAATGCGCCATCCAATATGGCTAAATCGAAGTTGCGATTCATGAGCTCTTTGGTTTCAGCGTCATCGAGCATGGCATCGCAGGACTAAAGGGGAAGAAAAAATAATTAGAAACATTAACTAATACCGAATTTACACTAGGCATTTAAATTACAAAAAAATGTTTGCCATTTAAAAAAATTGCATGTGGAAATGAACTCAATGACTATTTTTTTCACATAATGACACGATACTTTTTTTAATGCCCTACTTTGTCATTTTTACCATTTAACGCCTAGTGGAAACCCAATAAAAAAAGCAAAAGAAATTTATTTCAACCTAGTACAATTTTTTAACCAAAATGGTTTACAAAACAATTCTTAGAAAACCAAAAACACTAACTGAAATAACTAACACGTAATTTTGAGTAAAAGCTTTGCAGCGGCTTCGCCAAATTGGACGTGCCCACCTTGAAGCGTAACATAACAAATGTAATAATAATGTCAAATAAAAAATAAAAAATAAAGCAAACATTTTGCAATTGATTGCATGTCTCTGTTGTAAGTACTATTTGTAATTTTGTTTACCGCAACACTCGGTCACAAAAGAAGCTTTAGAACTCGACTAAGTTGTTGGGGAAGAGTGATTTTTAGCAAACAAGTAAATTTTAAAACATTGCTAGCATTCCAAGAAGCATTACTTATTTTAAATTAATTTTCCAGCAGTACACAATTAACTTTTTTGTTTATTTTTTGGGGGTTTTCTTTTGCTCTTGGTTTTTTGTCTGTTTTTTTTTGTAATTTGTAATTTACTGCTTTATACATACGTATGTATGTATGTTCTTACTTTAACTGCTTTGAATATTAATTTTACAGCAGATAATGGAATAATATTTACTATATATTTACGTATGAACGTTTGAAGAGCTTCGCTCATACTTTGCCAAAAATAAATGTAAGCGATTTCCGTAAACAATTATTTGTAAATTATGGGCAATATTTTATACTGCGAGTAAATACTAAGCTTCAAACGATTTAAATGATTCTCTGTGTATTTGCAAGCTCTTGTGAGTTCGAAAGTTTAAATGCAAAAGGCCCTATTTGGCGTGAGTATTTTTAGAAATGTGTTTTTATACCTGGGTTGTTTGTAACAGCGTCGCGTGGTGTTATATCCCTCTACTCTGCCTTCTAACAGGGCAATTCTGGCTAAGATAATTAAAATTCTTTTGTAAGACAATTGAAACACAGTCGGTAAGCGCCCGTAAAAAGCGCCCTCGCCAACTTTCATGGTGAAAAGCTCTTTTGACATGAATCACTTTGGCATTTTGCTAAACAGGTGCAATGGCCGAGTGAGCAAAGCACTAACATGCCATGCCATATAGCCGGAGTTCGAAACCTCAGGTAGTGCAACTAAAAAAAATAATAAAAATTCCTTATTTAATTTAATTTTCTCTTAATTTTTAGAAACTATTTTAATGTATTGTTTTAATTTTTTTCTTCTTTAATTAAAATTATTTTAATTAATTTATTTTTTTTTATTTAATCTTTATAAACAGAAAGTGTGTTGATTTTTTTATTTTATAGTTTTATTTTGGTATTTAGATTTTATTGGTTTATAAAGGAAATATTTTTGTTATTTCATTTAATTTTTAAGGACTTATTTTTTTTCTTACTTTTATTTTTATTTTTCTCCTTTTTTAGTTTAGTTTTTTGTTTTATGAAGAAAATATTTCTTCTATTCCATTTAATTTTAAGAAGCTTTTCTAATTTTTTGCTATTCAGTTTTATTTAGTTTTTTCCTTTTTAAATTTAATTTCATTTTAATTTTTAGGTTTTATTGTTTTAGGAAAAATAATAACATTCTACTTTATAATTTCGTTACACTTTTTGGAACTTATTTAATTTCATTTAATTTTCTTTTTTTTCAATTAAGTATGCTTTTTTCAGATTATTTTTTTTTTTAAGGAATATACTTTTTTTTGTATTAAATTTTTAGGAACTCATTTTATTTTTTTTTCCCACAATTTTGTTTTCTTTTTTATTTTTAAATTTTATTGCTATAAAAGAGAAATTATAATTTTTTTTTAATTTCATTTAGTTTTTAGGAACTTGTTTTATTTATTTTGTCTTGTTTTTTACTTAAGCTTTTTTTTATTTCAGTATTAGTTTTTATTTTTTTTTTAAGAAAAATATATATTTTTATTTAATTAAATTTTAGAAAACTTACTACTAAAAGACAAACACAATAAGGCTTTGTCTTACAAAAGACTGTGGTAAGTTGAAAGATAGTGGCCAGAATTGCCCTTTTAATGAAAAGGGCATCGATGTTTAAGGCTACGCGGATGATATATCCCTCCTAATAAAAGGCAGGTTTGAAGGTACTTTCTCCAAAAACCTACAAAATGCGCTGAACATAGTCACCAAATGTTGCAGGAAAACGTGCTAAACGTAAATCCCAAGAATATCAATATAATCATTTTCTCCAGGAAAAAGTAAAGGAACAGGTTACTGGAACCATTCTTTGGAGGAAAAAACATACAGTTCTTTAAATAAATTAAGCAGCTGAGAGTTATCATCGATGACAACCTCTCACGGAATACGGAACCATATAAAGCTGTTCAAAAGGCCAGAGGCTCTCGCAGGACCTGTCGGCAACTTAAGGAGCCTAATGGAAGCATGAGACCTAAACTGGCAAGATGGATGTAAAATGCCAGCTCCGAACTCATTCTAACTTGTGCTGCGCCCGTCTGGTGGTAAAAGGCTGAAGCAAAGTCCACGTGGGCCAAGCTCAGCTAACTATTTAAAATGACTAACCGGCGTGGACCACACTGGTGCTTTGAGAACAACACCAACCACGGCCCACGATGCTCCTCTGTTTACAGAGAGACCACATATCAGGAAACGATGAGTAAGGCAAGGCCAAAGTCATAGAGCGTAAATAAACCTTCGCATAAGCTTTGTGGACCTGCGGCTTCCGAGAATAAACTTCACTCGTAATTTTTAGGTATTTTTCCCCAGCGGACGACCTAAACGCCGGGACCAATATAACAACATTCCTTTCGTTTGCTTCCTTAAGCTGGCTTTTGTTTAGACTTTCACTTGCTGGCAGGTGTGTAATTTATGGGTCTAAATTGATAATTAATAATATTGCTAGCTTTAGCGAAAATTAAGATTTTGAACAAAATTTCTCCGTAGTTAATCGGTGTGTGTATAATAATTTTTGATATACTCTGTAGCATAACTATTACAAAAACTCACCTGAAATGCATATCGGAAGGCATCCCAAAAAGATAATGGCATCTCTCCCGTCATGCGTGATCCCAGTAAATCCCAATTTGTATAATTCTGTATATACTCAACTAGTCCAGAAGGTGTAATTTCATGCAAGCCGTTTATATGAAAATCGGACGGGAAACCGTTAAGAAATGTGATATTGTGACCTCTGGAAAACAAAAGTTAGACATCAGTTTACGGTATTCCAAAATTTAAAACTTATGCCGGATTTACACTAGGCACTAAATAAAAAACCAAATTGAATAATAAATTTGGGCATTCATAAAACCGTTAGAAGTCTTTTTCTACGAAACGTTTTTTAAATTGTAGACATTTTTTCCTAATTTTTGTCGTTTGTGAATAATACCGAATTTCCACTAGTAACTGAAACAGCAAAAAGTTTGTGCCATCTAAACAATTCCAAGTTTAAACGACCTGAATGGCAATTTAGTGCCCGTGGAAATACGGCAATATGCATAAAGTGATATGAAAACACAGTGTGACAAACTGGTTTTGAAGTAGAAATAATGAAAAATAAAACCGAACTTTATTTATGTCTCGTAAAAAATGGAAGCATTGAAAAAAAAACATAAAAACCGGCAGCAAAGAAAAATTATTGCAAATCAAAATTTGTAGTCGCTCCAAAGTTACTATTAATTTATTAAAATTTCATGTGCTGCATACCGGAAAATTTCAGATTAAAAAGTTCGAAATTCTGATGCGAATTTTTTGAATGTTCGTAAATTTTTTAAAATCTGTACATTAATTTACATAGTTGTGGTTAAAGCACAAACAATATTTTTATAAAAAAAAAACTTGAACTAAAAAAACATTGTGAATATTAAAAAACACATATACACTCAGTTCTATTCGCCAGTTTACAAGGAATGTATGTAATTGGGAGCCTGCAAGGATTGTGCCGAACAGCTAAGGATGAATGCCTTTACGAGGGGATTAAAATCAGTTATATATATTCATGGCAAACAGTAATAAAACGAATAAGAAATCCATTAAATTTGTGTACTTTGATTCACTCACCTGTGTATCAGTCCTTTCGCCAACTCCCAAAATGGTATTTTATGTGATTTGGTACCGCCCATTGTGACCATCAGTATATCAGCAGCCATTATATTTGTAGCACAAAACAAAAGCGCCGCACCGTACCACACACGATTTGTCATATTGAAATCTAGCATTTGGAAATAAAAATAAAAATATATACTTTAGCAACCTGGAAATATTTTTGCAACTATATTTAAAATGCATGCATAAATCTCTTTGAACAATTTCTGAAAAGTACATTTCACGCACTACCCAAACCTCAGCGCCAACACTGCCCTATATAGATTTAGATGGAGTAAGATACGAGCAGTAATCGAGCGGTTAATGGTAGCAAACACAAATTTTAATTGTTTAGCAGTAAATTGTTTGCAATTACATTTTTTTTTTTCCAGAAACATTTACCATTTTTTTGATAAACACATCATGGTAGAGTGATTTTTATTTGAAAATATTTATTTTGGTAATATGAAATAATAGTGATGGCCAATAACTTTTTCTCATATGCACTAACTACAATTATTTGTTGTTTTTTTATGGAGAATTCAAGCTATGCAACAAGTGACGCAAGCAACATTGCGACGCGTCGCCACGTGTGTATAAAATTATACATCAGTACGTGTTTATGAGTTCCAAGCTAAATATGTATGTAAGGAAATTGTGTCTCCCGGTGTAATAGCCGGTAAATTATACAGACGCCATTGTAGAAGATGGTAAAACTCTTTCGCTTTAATTTGATATGAATGCATTTATTAATTTCATTTATGCAATGAAAGAAATTTTTCATATTAGGCATTGCCCATAACTTTGAAATAAAAATACAATACACATTCTCCTTATGGACCTATTTTTATGTATGTTCATAATTTCGTAAGAGAGCTTTAAAGAAACGCGTCTTAAAGCCACATATAGTATATCATCCTATTATTTTCTTCGCGTTCTCAGTAGGGTGACAGACGCTAGACAAAAATACGTCCAAACGTAAAATGGAAAGGATGTCTTGCACCCCACCGCCAGCAAAGCTACTGAAGCTCTAGGCAAAATTCTTACGCGCCCTTTGTAGAAGCTAGGAGCTTTGACACTAAAATTCTGGATACTATAAAGAAAATAACTAGGTTACTCATACGCCGAGGTGCGCTTCCTGTCTTCTGATGCCGCCGCAACAACACCTGCATGACTAGGCGAAAATACTCCCCATAAAGGAGCACAAAACAATGCTCGACAAGCAATTCCTTGTAGAGAGTCACAGACGTGGACAACCGAACAGACACTTGCTTGCAGAGGAGCCCTCGCCAAAGCATCTATACAAACTGACGGACGAAGTCCACAGATTCATAAAACAACCTCTGGACCCGATAGCATATCGACAAGCCTTGAGCGGTATTCACAGGGAGTCGGTCTCAAGTTACGTAGACTCCAGACCTGTGAATGCCGTTCACCACCTGACGTGGTTGCCACGGGAGACTCGGCAATGACAACTATCTTGCAATACATATACTGACAGTGGTACAAAACTCTCATTTTTATATAAAGAAATCTCAAATGCCAGCAACTACACTCATTCTTCTGAAAAAAAAAACTTTATAGTTAAAAAAGGAAAACCTTGCAAAAAACGCTTTTTTCCTTTTGAAAATTTACGTGAAGTATAGCTGATATTGCTTTTGATGCCTCTAATATGGTACCTTGAAGGTTCAATTATTGAGCCATAAATCATTGAGATATTGAATTTGAAAAAATTTTAGTTTATTCCAGTAGAATGAAAATGAAATGAAATGAGAGAAAATCACTAAGTAAACTGAGTAAAGTTTGAAGTGTTGGAGTTGGTCATGGGATGCAGAGCTTTGATTTTAGATAAGGAACAACATCTCAAACAGCGGTGAAAACTGCATCCTCATATCCAGGGCAGCAAAACCTTACACAAGTATTCATGAAAATTTTTACTCGCCATAAGTACTTTCGACTTGCTCCACTGTGCAGAAGGATTTAATTTTTTATTAAAACCAAAATTCGCCAGTTCTTATAGAATATGGTAGATGTTTCGGATAAAATTCTATAAGTTAAGATATTGCGCAATAACCGCTTGTAAAATGCGCACCGCTTTCCAAATTTTCCACACCGATTTAGCCGTAGCCAAGTATGTTTCTAATCGACCGTGACCACATTGATTTATGTTGCTACATATGTATGTGTGTAGTTGTCCACGCGCTACAATTTGCGGTGTTTGCATTATCTCTTCTAAATAAATACTCGCACTTGTTTCACTCGATTTTGCAACGACCATTCCAGTGCAATGTTCTGCTACTTCATTCGCGTTACAACTTCCACAACAATAAAAAAATGCAGTTGCAATTAAAATATTTAACCACCTTTTTTTTAGGCTAACACAAGTTTATACCACACACAAGTGCGCAATTGATTAAACGTTTCTAAGCTTGTATGTACTCGTATAAAATTTAGTTTTCTAAATCACACAAAAGTCATTGTTCGCGCCCGTTGTGGTTCATGGTTGAGCAATACAGTGTTGCAATTGGAAATCAGCTGCACTTAATGCATTTTAATTTCATGTGCCACAAAGTTTGTTTGATTTTTTTTTAAGATCGAAATGCTTAAAACACTCACACAAAGTAGTTAAACCGCTCGAGTCAAGGTTTAGAATTTAATTTTTTTTTACTAATTTGGTTGGATGTGTGCATGCGTGTGTGTGTGTGTGGTAAGAATTAATTATTTTGACCAATACGATTAATTCAGCAATCTTTACATCAATTAACTTGTTTTTAGTTGCTCAAATTAATTGGCCACAAATATGTATGTGTACATTATTATTTACCAAGAACTTTCGAAAAAAAATCAATGAGTTGTAATAGGGGCTATGTATTAGGTTGGTATGAAAAAATGCTCTCCGAAATCTCTAAACTTAACGGTTTCGTCAACTATGTCAACTACACCCGGGTGAGTGATATTATGGCTTTATATATCAGAATGGTTTCGGCTGATTAGATACGGTAGTTGTAGGGAATTTTCAATTAATTTCTTTACATTCCTTTTGTACTTGTGCTGTGCCTATTAACTTTTGTATGCATGTTCAATATTCAACTTCCAGTAGGTAATATTAAAATCAATGCATATTTTTTCCAAAAGCTGACGCCCTACATCCGAACCTATTTCTTGAAGGAACGCGTTTTTAAAAACCATTTATCATCCCAAGACCATATAAAACTTTTGGTTTTTCAGATTATATAAATATAATTAGTTAAGAAAAGAGGCCCAAACCTTTCGCTATTTAATTCATTCTCCGTTTCAATTGCGATTCGATACGGAGAAATTGGAACCCCATAATTAAACGATAAATAAATATAAAAACTAGAAATAGATTGGAGGGCTTTGATAGGAACTGGAATTGAGCCGATAACTTATAAATGTATATATCTCGATATAAATCTATAACTCGATAATATTTAATTTTGATAGCTCCATATTTTTCTAAAGTTATGGACAAATTTCGATAACACGTTACACTCCGGTAACGCGATAAAACGCGATAAGCAGTGATAACTCGATAAACCTCTATATTTCGATAACTCGATATATTTTGAATATTCCAAAACCTTCGATTTGATAAATCGACAAATTGCAGAAAATATATGAGTATCGATAACTCGATAAGTTAAAAGAACTTGATGCATTCCGCTAACTCAATAAATTTTCTTTAACTCTATAAATAAGACGTAAGACTTTAGGTCCCTTAAGAGTATACGAAAAGATAGGTAGGCGAGAAATATCATTCTCTTCTGTAAACACTTTTATAATGCTTAGTGGTTTGTCGATTCTTGACCCAAAACTGTACCACCTCAGCCTGCCGAAGATCGGATAGCTGCAGAGACATTGTTCAGTACTCATACATTGTTCGTACCTATGGATTGTGTCCGGTATTTATTCAGTTCTATAAGGACTCATAGTTTACATCTTCTCTATCTATGAAAAAATTTCGCCATCTCTCTATCTATTCTTTTAAGAAAGCACTTGGTTATTTTGAGGTGGTTGTATCATGAGATCACTGATGCTCTGGCTACGATTGGCCCTAAAATGGGTTCTGTTCAACCAACCGACACCCACGTTAGTACAAATTCGTTCTATTTTACAACAGAGTTTAACCGCAAACGCATGCAGCTTCAAAGCTTTTAGAGTAACTTGGCTAACACTGACGATCCTGATTTTATATCGGCACCACATTTTCCAACCATCCAGTCGTTATAATCAAAGCGGTAAATCTTCCAACGAAGATTTTATCAGAAAGTTAGGCGACTTACGGAAGGTTTCAATATCAGAGCGAGTTTTTGTAATAACAAGAACGGCAACCTATTGACAGTTTTCCAGAACGTGCTCAAACTGTGGAGAATATTCCCTTCTGAACCTGAATCCCCAGTCGAAGATGATGGAGTCGGTGTACAACCAGCTGACTGTAATGCGGTGCGAGTCGCAATTTAGCGGCTGGAAAACGACAAAGCTGCGGGCGCTGACAGCCTGCCAGCTGAGCTATTTAAGTGCAGCGGCGGGGAATTTATAAGGTGCATAAATCAACTCTTACTTATGTAAAATATGGCTGGACGAGCGTATGCCGCTCGACTGCAATTTTAGTACATTCTGCCCAGTCCACAAGAGAAGCCTTTTTAGATTGGCTAGTAAGGTCTTATCGAGCGTATTGTATGAAAGGTTGAAGACAGAAATGCTCAAGGTCTGAAATTAAACAACGCAGGTGGCAAAGCTGGTAGCAGAGGAAGAGGAAGGCCTTCTCTGAAATGGAAAGACCACAACGCCAATCAAGAAGAAGATGTAGGAAGGTTGCCTGCTGTTTAGAAATCTAATTTAACTTAAATTAAGCCAATTGAAATATAAGTGACAGACAAAAGAGATTCAAGTAAGAAAATAATTTTTAAGAGTGCTGCCACCTGTTTGAAAAATCTAATTTAGTTAAATTATGCCGACTGTGGGCAATATTGAACAATATTTTTATTTAATTAAAATTAATAAACTAAAATTAAAATTAAATGACAAAAAAATATTTTTTAAAACTTTTCAATGTGTGGTGCGTTTATTATTTTTCAAGGGTATGCATATATGTATATCATTTTT